GCCGCACGGCAGCGGAGGAGCTGAGCCAGGACGGCTGCCCCAGAGCCGTGTGAAGGGTGCCCCAGCCTTTCGGGATGGGAGTCCCGCACTGGTGTGGGGGGCACTTAGCTCTTCGTGACCCAGCTGAGCTCTGGGAAGAGCTCAGAGGATGAAGGCCGCCGAGGCCTCTTGCTCTCCGTGCCTTACCACTGTTGGGTGAAACAAATGCCTTATTCAAGCCTCACGGTGCCTAGCACTTGTACATACCACATACGTCAGCCGTAAGTGCCTGGCCCTGCCCAGGGTGTCCCAGGGACAGCTGGCCGTGTGATGGCACGGGCAGGACAAGCACCAGCTCTCCCCAGAGCAAAGGCTATTTGAATATCTGTGGGTGTCTGTCATGCTGTGCCCTTCCTCCTGCCAGATCTAACCCTGACTGACCTGCCCCTTGTGCTGTTCTCCTAGCCAGTGTGAGAAGATAGATTCCTGATGTGCTGCCTGACACGAGGGCTGCTTACCGAAGGGCGGAATTGGACGAGATCTGTGAACTTGCCAGGAGTTTCCCTCCTTGGTCAGTTTGTTGAGGTGCTGGACTGCAGCTCTCAGGGATGGAAGGAACATTTGCATGGGCACTGCTAGAAGTGTCTTAGATTAGAATTGTTGCCTAGATTTAGTCTGTGTCCAGGTGAAGTCTTTAACCTGCCTGGGATCAGGTAATGTAGTAATCTATTCTGTAAGTCTCCATTTCCAGCAGTAGCCGGTGCCAAATACCTCCCCAGAGGGAGGAGGAGAGATGTGAAGCTCTCCTGATGTTCTTGCCAGGTTACCTCTGTGACAACTCTTCAGGCTGCTGGGACTGGAGTTCTGGGCTTTGTCTCCACTGCAGCGATGCTGGGGTAGGTCCAGGCACGCTCTGCCGCTTGTTAAAGCGAGGGTGTAGGCTCTGTGTGTGGGGAAGTATCTTGGAGTTGCGTGCTAGCTGAACAGCAGACGTGAACTCTGTACTGCCTGGGTGTTTGTGAATTATTGAACTTCTCCCATGGGTCCCCAAGCAAAGCCAGGACTCCCAGTCCTGCTTCCCTGCAGCAGCAGTGTCTGATTCTTCCAATAGGCACGGGGTTATTGTCTTCCCACGCTGAGGAGAACGGCTGTGCATCTTGAGTGTGAAGCTTGCTGTGGAAATGTGTGTAGGGGCAAACTAACTGCTGGCTAAATAAGATAGGGATGTTTTCTCTGGGGGTTTAGACACCGTTATTGGGAGAGAAATGTTTGGAGTGCTGAGGTGCTCTGTACCAAACCTTCTCTCCAGCCCTGCTATCCCAACTCTTGTGGCTGTTGGATTTCTCCCAAGCAGGCTGCCGTCAGGGCACCGGGGAGGTATGTGTTTACCCTGAACACCAGCCAGGGTCTCGATGAGCAGAGCTCCTCTTAGCAAATGAGACAGTGTTCCAGCCTCTGCAGCGGAGGCATGCGGCTGCTTGGACCTCCCTCTCGGTGTGTAGGACACTGCCGCTTTCAGAGGAGCAGCGTGCCCTGTGAAACCAGGGCTTTGACCAGCGACCACATCGTGGGCTTGCAGTTGTCAGTTTGTGAACCGAAGCAATGATGGGTGGTGGCAAGAGATGTAACGATTTTTACTTCCCTTCCTCCCAGTTCTCATGCGAGATCCTAGTACCAAAAGGAACAGGGGTTTGATTTGTGCTGACTTGTCTCTTGAATTCATGGCTCATCAGAGAGGTGTCTACACTAGAGACGGGACTGGGGAAAAATCTAAGCTTCTGTACTTTCCTGTACGTGTGCTGTCCTCGCCTCGGGCTGAAGGGACTGGTGTCGTCACTGCCCTGCATATAGCTACAGACACAAACGTGTCCCACAGCCTCTACAGAAAAAGCGGTGGGAGATACAAGTCTGAGAGTGCACCAAAGTCGTTGAATGACTTTTTTCTTCCTAGCCTCCTCTTGCAAAAGCAGACAGTGCTACTGGAACAATAATTCACTATTCCAATCAGTTGTGCTTCTACAATGTTAGCAACAGGTTTGGGTAAAGGCTTCTGAGACCCCCTGAGATGCCCCCTGCGTAACCTGGAGAGCAAAGCTCTGCTGTGAGTGGGTGCTGCTGAACATGGGTGTGCTGTGAGGCGGGGGTGTGGGGGCTCTGACGAGTGCGTCAGTAGACTTGTCTTGTGCCATGATGGCCTCAGGAGCCATGCCTCGTCTGTCTGGCCATTGGGAGCCTTGAACCATTGCTGCTGTTAACTGCTGGTTCCTGAGGTGTGATCTGGTGTGTTCCTTTGGGCTGGATTTAATGTCAGCCTGCAGGCCCCTCCCAAGGGTCAGGCAGTGCTGAGGTGCTCGTCATAGCTCTGCTCTCAGTCACTGCTCTGTACCCGTGTCTGTTGCAGGCCGGGCAGTGTGCAGAAACAGCACGCCCTTGCTCTGGGACGCTGGCTCGCTGGAAGTGTGAGATAAGTGGGAACCAGTTCATCTGGTTTAATTTTGGAATCTGTATTTCTCCAGCAGCCCGGGCAGGTTATTTGCCTCTTTGCTTTGGTTTCTCCTCCCCAGGGTGGGCATTTCCCCATGTCTGAAACTGTGTGATGAGTGGAGGTGGGTCCTGTTTGCTGATGTGGTGTGAACACGCTGGCTGTCTGGCGAGTGATGATACCCAAGGGCTGTGGGCTCACAGGGGAAAGCTTCACCCTGGTGGGATGTCCCCCAGATTGGGGCTGTGCTGCACCCAGGGATGGGTGCTCAGACCTGGCTCCCAGCACCCCTGGCTGAGTCCTGCCGGAGCGAGAGTGGCTGTAAGGCAGGGCTTAGAACTGTGGGGCTGAGGAACTGGAGGGCAGTTAATGTGTAACTGGTGTGCTTCCTGTGACCTGCAGCCCAGCAGCTGATGGGCTTGTTCTGGCTCTGTGCTAACAAGCTGGGCGAGCTGGCGGCTGCTCATCTGCTGTTCTCCTGGCCCTCAGATGTGGGCCGAGCAGTGAGCCCATGGATGCAGCTCGCTGAGGGAGACTGAGCCAGCGTGGGAGAGCATGAGGGATGGCTCTCATACAGTGAGTGCTTTCCGAAGAGCCAGCAAGCAGCTTAGCTCCTTGCTTATCTGGCAAGGCTGCCTGTAAGGTGGTGGTGGTGCAGCTCCACACAAAGCTGATTACAGCTCCATTTTGTAAGTGAGATGGCTAGATTTCTGGCTTAACCAGGGGCATTTGGCTGGCATAAGGAGGTGTCTTGCTCCGGCTTCTGGGTGAGTCTTGTGCATCCTGCTACATCCAAGTTTTTTTTCCTTTTGCGAAAGAGGAGGAAGAACCCAGTTACTTCTGGGATTTGAAGTAAGCCCTGTTAGGCAGGAGAGGTGTGTGTGAGTGACCAGGAGAGGCTGCTTTGACCTGTCATAGAGTACAGCCCAGGGAAGGCAGAGCAGTGAAATGTGCCCCTGCTTTGGATGTTCCTCTTCGTGTACTCCATGGCAGGGAAGGCTGTTGTTTCCCCTGTGACCTCCCTGACTTCAGAGCTTAGCTGGTCTGATTCACTGCAGCTCTCTTCCAGGGGAGGCTTTGTACCGCTGTGGAAATGAAGTGGCTTTTTCCTCCAGACTGAAGGAGAGGTGCTTTCCTTTCCAGTTACTCTGCTTGGAGTCTAATGTTGGATGAGAGGTTTGGTAGCACCCATGGAAAGCAGCTTTCTCACAATTTCAATGCAAATTGCTAATGTTGAGGTCTCTGGATGTCTTCATCCAGCAGCCGTTCTAGAGTGGGACACCTGACGCAGGCTGCTTGCTGTGTTGGAGGCCTCCTCTGAGGTTAATGTTTTGTGAACTGGGTGTTAGTGTTGAGGTTCACCTGGGGTGACTGAACTGCAAGCACTGCTCTCTTGGAAGTGCCTGGCATGCAGTGGAAACGGCCAGAGGCTGCTCCTCACCGCCCTGCGTGGTAGAGCAGCTCTGAGGCTCCTTGCTAGGCTGCTCAGCATTTCATAGCCATCCCTTTGCTAAGGCAGCTGCCCTCTAAAACCCCTCTCTGGTTTTGCCTTTCAGGTTGTTAATCTCCAGCCCTGACCAGCAATGCCATCAGCTATGGAGGGCTCAGAGGGGGGAGAAGGGGAAATCTTGCGCTATGAGGAAACAGAAGATGACAACATCAGGTGAGTCCTGTCACACAACATGGCACAGACAGAGTCTTGGGCAAGGCAGGAAACCTTCCAGGTAAAGGAGTGATCCTCTTCTGAGAAGGAGCGAGGGACTCCTATAGGTGATTAATCAAATATACATGCAGTAAAATCTGTTTAATCAAACTGTACTGGAAGGGTGGAAGGGATGGGAAGGAGCGATCTGGCTGAGGCTGACAACAAGCAGTTATTTTTTGTCTCTACTACGAAACTTGCATGTCAGGAATGCTTTGACCGTTTTGCAGTTGTGTTTGTGTCGTTCTGGCCAAGGTGAGCCAGTTTTCCATGCCTTGCTGGGCAGTCTCGTGGTAGCAGCTTCTTGTTTTGAAAGATGACTCTAGAGGTGAACTCTGCTCCAGTAAGCTGCCTCTCTCGCCTGTGCAGAATACCCGCTGGCCTAGGCCAGGATCTCTTCTTGGAGATTAGTTTAAAAAAACAATTTCATACACATGCTCTAAGAGCCAAGGTTTCAGACTTGGAAAATGTGGAGAGTGAACAGGATGCTTCCCAGAATACATAGCTAGGCTGCTTGACTTCTCTTTGACGTGACAGGCTCGGTTTCATAGAATCATAGAATGGTTTGGGTTGGAAGGAACCTTAAAGATCATCTGGTTCCAACCCCCCTGCTATGAGCAGGGGCACCTTCCACCAGACCAGGGTGCATCCGCCCGCGCCTTTAACCTTGCCAGGGGGGGGCCAGCCACAGCTTCTCTGGGCAACCTGTGCCAGTGTTTCACCACCCTCATGGGGAAGAATTTCTTCCTAATATCTCATCTAAATCTGCCCTCTTTTAGTTTACAGCCGTTCCCCCCTGTCCTATCACTACACACCCTTGTGAAAAGCCCCAAAAGTTTCTTAAGAAGCTGATGCTGCCTGGCTCTCCTGGCACATCCAGGCCTTGTTCAGCCACTCAGTGGTCTGGAGCCTTCAAGGTCTGCCACTCTCAGAGCTAACACCAACATGCTCTCTGTAGCAAGCTAGCGATCAAAACTGTAAGGTGTGCTTTGGCATGATTTTGAGTGAATGTAGATGTTGATAACACTCTTCCAAACTCCAGGTAGGTGCAGTGGCTGTAACCTAATCATAGATTTTTTTTTTTTCTTTTTTTAGAAAGACAACCTGTAGAAACCTGCAGAAACAGTGTGATTCAGGATAAATAAATTTTTTAAGGGTGTTCTTGCCCTGTTTTGCAATTTGGCTCTCACCTGCTCTTGGGCAGTTGATACCCAAGTCGGAAAAGCTAGGGTCCTGCCCACGTATGCACCTGCTCTTGCCTGAGCCTTTCTCCTTCTGCAGAGTGACTGAGGAGTATGCCACCAAGGCTCCTGTGCCCTTTAGCCTGCCCCGGTAGCTGCTCTTCACACGCTCAAGGCCTCCTTTTGTAGTGCTGTAGGGGGGTCCACATGGATGAGAAGCAAAACTAATGGTGCAGGGATCAGAGGATCCTTGGAAATCGGTTCA